TCCTCCCATGTGGTAGGGGGATATTTCATGAGGCGGCTCAGCAGCTTCTTGGTTGCCCTCGAACCATCCCTGCTTAGCCCGTTCTGGAAAGCGGCGACTGCCATACCTTCCGATACGTTTGGTAGACTCATCCTTACCCTGTTAAACCTTGCCAGGAAGCCCTGAGCCCCTCTCCTGTGGTTTGCCTGACGGCGAAGATGTCGTTGACCCTGGCCTCCGCTTTCTTCGCGCCTGCATGGGCTGTGACGAACTTATCCGCCATTTCCTCGAACGTTGATATTGCCTTAGCCGGTAGCTGAGAGTACCATGTTAAGGCCCCTCCTGTCAACGTCTCGCCAAACTTTTTCAACAGTACCGAAGGTACCTGTTCTTTCGATAGGTCGTTGCCCTTCACAGCGGTGACGTAGTGGATCAGATGATCCTCGGGATCTGTGGTTCCGTCATATACCCTCAAGTAGGGTGGCATCTTGAAGGTTTTTGGGGTGGAGTGAGGGGAAGCTTCTTCAGTGTATGGTTGTTCAACGAACCTTCCCACGTCGCGTTTTGGTAGCAACTTGGGAGCACCGGGGATCTTGTCGACCCTCTCCTGATGTTCCTTCATCTGACCGCGGAGCGCCTTGTTTTTATTTTCCATTTCTTCCATCTTCTTTAGGATGGCTGTTAGCGTGCCATCGTTGGTATATGTCTCGATGGGTTTGTTATTCGCTAGTGTAACTTCCGGTTCACCCACGGCAGCAGTGGTACCTACCGTTGGTGTACATCCGATGTTACTTTGTGGTGACCTCTCAACCAAGCCACTTAGAGCGCTTGTTAGCCATCTTTCCAGTAGCTCTTTGACCGCTGAGGCTGCTTCCGTAACAGCAGATGTGGAAGCTCCTTTTTCGTGCAAGATCGTCAGACCTTCGGATGGGGAAGGTGAGATCTCTACACCCGGTGTGATGCTAGGGGTTGCATTCAGGATGCCATCGTCACTGGCCTCGTTGAGAGGGCCAAGGAGATTGGTAGTGACACCCAATATAGCTTTCGATCTTGTGTTATTTTCGGCCATTTTCTGTTTTGGTGGTGTAGAGAATGGTAGTTGGTTGATCTCTAGGTGGATACTATGGTTTTGATTCTCGAAAAAGTTAACAATATACTTTGTAAGCTAAAAAACAATCAAAAGTAGGAAAAGGGTAAATCGTAATCAAATATAATAATCCTAGAGATGCAAAGATGATAATATTGTTGTAGATCTAGTATTGCAAAGAGACAGTATGAACTCAATAAGATACGTTCGTTTGAAGTAGAGATAGAGAGAGAAAGCCAGAAAAATGAGAGAGTTGTATTAGATCAGATGCCTCCTTTTACAATGTGAAGGTCTCCTTTATATAATAGGAGACCTTCCTCGAAAGAATCAAAAAGTTACAAAGATAAGTAACGTCTCCCTAGTGAAGACACTGAGTCCTAAACGAAGTCGCTTTTGCCCCCACGGCCGAGTCGTACCCGCTACATTGGTAGGCGTACACTCATTGGGCGTACCCACTGGCGTAGAGATGCTGAGGGTCAAATTTGACCCTATACAGCCTCATTTGTTTGCACTTAATGGAGGTCTGAATTTTAATCATTCAGATATAAGACATTAAGTGCGTTTGTTTTTAAAATCTGAATCTTGTTTATTTAGATCTTAATCATTAAGTGTGTTTGTTTTTTTAACTTTACAACCACTTAATGGGTCTGAATAGGTCTGTATGATTCAGATCTATAACAGAGACTTGATTTCATTAAGATGCTATCATATATTCATTATTAACTGCCGCCACCGCCTACCATTATCAACTACCACCATGCCACTACCACCACCATACTCAACCACCCCCACCACCACGACCCCCCACCACCACGCCACCATCATCCTCAATCATAGCCGCCGCCATTATCGACCATCACTACCCACTATCCCCACCACTTTGACCATCATCACCCACAATCAACACTCGTCCACCTCAACTAACACAACTACCACCCCATCACCATCAACAACCACGACCGACACTGCCCATCATTATAACCTACCCCACCCACCCACCACCTTCCTCAGTCACAATTACTACCACCACCCGCCATTATTAACTATCACCACCCACCATCACCACCATCACCATCCTCAATCATAATCGCCACCACTACCAATCACTGCTAGCTACTAGCATGAACCACCATCATCAACCAACACTACTACCAACCACCGCCTCTAGTCGGTATTCACCTGTTAACCATCACCACTAACAACTATCATATTTTAAAAAACTATATATTTTATTGATAAAATAATATATTAGTTAGTATTTCATTTGAATTTTATGTTTATTAATTTTCAAATAAAGATAACTTTTTATACATTCAGATGTTAAAAATCAAACAGTCTTAATTATTTAGTATTCAGATCTTAATACACATCTTAATATATTCATATGTGTATTTAGATCAAATGTCTTAATCTTAATACATATCTTGGTATTCAGATGTGTATTCAGATTCAGACATCTTAATCTTAAAAAAAAACAAATGAGGCCTATATGGGCTTAGGCCTTTTGATGGATGTTTCTGGGCTATTTGGATAGATTAAGATCCTTTCATGTATTATCCATTAAAAATGGGTTAGATAATAAACTTTCAAAAGACGGGTCAAATATGGATAAGAACCATATTATCCAGAAAATGAATAACGAATGGATAACTAATGAGTTTAACTTTTACATTTGTAAAGCCTCAAATTGGAGGTTCTTCAAGTTTGAGAGATTAGGAATTCCCAAAAGTGATCATATTCAAGAAGTCATGGATGATATGGACATCCATATTAACCCATTTTTTTTATCCATATTAAATATAGGCTGTGTCGGTTAATTTATCCGTTTTTATATTACCCGTTTTAAACTGATCCATATCTGACCCGACCCGCCCGTTTGTTACCCCTAGGTGCTATTTTGACTACAGGGAGAAATTCAAAAATAGGCAGATTTATAAGTGGTCATTCAAAAATAGCTACAGTTTCAAAGTAATCGAAATTTAGGCACTTTTCATATAAAGATAAATCTGAACGAAAATACTATTGAAAATCCGAAAAAAATACTCCAGTATAATACATCGGGCCAGCATATTATACTGGAACTTTCCGCGTGTTGGAGTTCCAGCATATTATGTTGGAAGTTCATGCACAGGTGCCGATCTCCAGTATATTAGGCTGGAACTTTCTGTGTTGCAGTAAAATAGTGGCTGTTTTTCGATGACTTTGTAAATGCTGGCTATTTTTGAATAATCAGTGCAAAAATTGGCTAGCCCGTGCTATTTTTACTACGACCATCTCCAACCCTAACTCTAAATTTCACACCAAAATGGTGTAACACCAAATTTACTCCAACCATTACTCCATTTTTTATACCAAAAAAGGAATATTTCTTCTCTCTCTTCTATATTATATTATTATCTTCTATTTAAATTTTATTTTTTATTTCCTTCAAACAAATTCTATCTTTTTTCTTTTTTTCATATTCATCATATATAATTCACCACTTATATAATCATTTATTACAAAATTATTTTAAAGGATAAATCAACCAAAAGTGAAATCATTGATAAATACAATTGGTGCATTAAGATCACGCTCGTCCTCAATTATCATGTTGTGCAGTATAATACATGTGGTCATTATATAATATATAGAAAAATTAATATATCAAAAAAAAGGATATAAAATCAAAATTATAAAGATCTTAATATAAAAATTAATTATATACACAATATATGATAAATTAAAAATTCAAAAAATAAAAAGATAAAAAAAATAATAATAAATCAAATTTGGTGCAACACTATTCATGCACTATAATGGTGCAAGATTTGGTATTCCATTGGAGCAAAAAAATATTAAATTTTACACCAAATTTGGATTTGGTGCAAAATTTAGTGCAGCCTTGGAGATGGCCTTATCATAAATGAAATCCTAGTGTTAAATCAACACAACCGAACAATTACCAGCCTCTACAAATTCGGATCGGCTCAATGGAGGTAATTACCTTATTAAATAATCATATTGATATTTTGTTTTTTGAATGAATGCAGGTTATTTGATGAGGCGCTATATATGTTGTTACAGATTCCAATGGCCGCGTGAACCCTTTATTTTGTAATGATGCATAATTTATGATAATTACTATTCCCTCCAGTCTACGTTAACTATTTTTAGCTTTTTTTTTTATGATCCATAATATTTATTTTCTTCAGGAATTAATTTCTTTTTTTCACAGTTGCACTTGGAGTAAAGAGCCTATGAGTATTTATTGTATTTGCAATGAAAAAATTAAGATTAATATGGTCAATTTTATTTTTAATGTGAAAAAAAAATCAATTAAATTGGAGTACTCTTTTAAAAATAAAAATAAAAACCACACACACACAAAGGTTTTCGATTAACTATTGCACTTGTTTACTTCACAAGCTCTAATCACATGGATGGATCGATCAGTCTAAGACCAGTTTAATTTTTCGATTTTAAGATTCATTCAGATTACTTTAATAGGTACTGGCTGTTAATGTAATTTAATTAGTATTGCTGACTGTAAATGTAATTTCTGTTAGTATTAAAACTAGTAGTTGACAAAAAAAGACTGTCCATACTGATCGAAGTTGTAAATGAAATGATCCGAACAATTCAAAATTGACAACTACTTTGCTATCAGTCCAATTACGCTGAATNCTTATGCTGGAACTCCGAAAATTTGCGGGCGTATTTTTTCAGATTTTGAACAGTGTTTTCGCTCAGATTTAAAGTGGCTAAATTTCGATGACTTTTAAAACTTGGCTATTTTTCAACGACCAGCGGTAAATCTGGCTATTTTTGAATTTCTCCCCTATCTATAGTTTGAGTTGCAACCGTCACAGTTATTGGGCTAGCCTTCACGCGATCATGGGCCAAGTCCACGGGATAAGACTGACAGTGGGCTGTGGGAGTCAGCTCCATAAAATCCATCCCCCTTAGTCTCTGGCCTCTACTGATTTTCCCTCCAAAAGCTTGTACTGCAAGGATGGAGCCATGGGAAGCATTGGATGTAGACGATTCCGACCTCCATTCTCTCCTCCGCCCTTGTAAGCGTCTCCACCATAACTATAATCTCTCCACCTCTACTTCAAATTCTCCGCCGCTTCTGCCGCCGTCTTCTCAATCTTCCGAATCCTCACAATCACAAACTTCTCAACATCAGTTACAGTCGCCGCCTCAACGCCTCATTCCCGGACCGGCAGGTTCCGTACAAGCTGCAATGATTCAACGAACTTACGATCGTCAATCTCATAGTCTCATGACCTCTCAAGGTGACAATCTGATACCTACGCAAGAGTACATTAGGAGAGCCGTCGAAAATTCTTCCGACTTCGACTATGATTTCCAATCCAATCTATGGAATGATGTCCTTAAATTTGTTGGTATGTATATTAGGGATTTGAGCTTTTGCTTATTGGTACTATTATCATTTCGTTTTTTTTTTTGGTCAATCTTTTCATGAATTAGGTGTACGTGTGTGTTTATTCAGGTACGAAGAACGGAATTCCTTGTACGCCTTTGAGCTCTGTCAATAAATGCCTAAAAGCTTCTAGGGTTGATCAGGTATTTTAACTTTTTCCCTACTCTATTCATGGATAAAGGCATCATTAGAAAATGAAGGTAACTGTTCCATTTGACTACGATGTTAAACCATACAATTATTGGTCTCAACTCTCAATTGGAGGCATATGTTTAATTTTTATATTTTGAAATACAATATACTAACTTAGAAAATTTATGGTAAAAGGTAAGTAGTCTTCTATAACTAAAGTATTTAGAAAGGTGTACAGAAATGAAAGTCAAAGAAAAACTTACCTGATCCTCCAAATAATAACAGTGCCATATCACTTAAGAAAAAGCGAGTATTAGAAAAATGAGAACACCAAATGCTCTTTTCCAGAGAGAAATGGGACCATAGTTGAAGTACTAGGTCCCAGATTTTACAATTTCTGATAGTCTTTATGAAGTTTTAATTCAAGTAATTTTACTCTTTGATGCATACTTACTTACATTTATATATATATATATATATATATATATATATATATATATATATATATATATATAGCTACTTGTATAACCTATTTTTCCTATTGCCCGTCTTAGTGGTAAGAATATATGATCTGATAAAAGCTAATATCACCATAAAGAGTGCAAACGGCCTTTTGCCTTCTATTAGTCAGTATTTTGAACTCTGTCTTCGCGATAGCCCTAATTCCTGGCAATTATTGTTTTTGTTAGGTTGTGGCGGTTGTTAAGTCTTGTACACATAATGGCCTTGGCGGTCTGATGGTGACTTTGAAGGTACAGTTCTTTCGAGCATAATGCTGATAACAATGGAAGGAGTTTGCCAAAGTTGCAACTGATTTAATTAGTTACAAGTTTAGGATCATACAGGTTCAATTGGTGCTAGCATTCATCACAAAGTACTTAGCGAGAGTCGGTATGGAAAGGCCATTTGCATTGGCTCAGTTTTGATACTACAAAAGGTATATTGCTCGAAGACCCAACCTCTTGGCTCCATTCAAGAGTCGAAAACTCAACCTCTTGGTTGGAGGTGTAGGCTCCACTTGTCTTCTCCATGTTACTTTAAAAAGCATATTGAACATAATGTGCGATATATCCACATTTGACTTGAAAACTAATTTTGGTATTCCAGGTTGCTGTGTTTTCCCCTTCAACTTCAAGTTCATCGTATTATCTTAACATAACACTCGGGAATCTGACAGAGGTGCACATGCTTAGCCTACTATTTTGTAACAGCAATTCTTACATCATGCATAGCTATCACTAAGACTGCAATCTTTCACGAACAAAAACATATAAATGTGAAATTTGTTTTCATTTGTTTCTTGAAGTTATATGTCTGCAATTAGCTGAACCAGCTTCCCCCCAATCATGTACTGATTTGTAGTTCCATGTCAGAAGTTGTATTTTAGGGATGAAAAACCAGGTTCCATTGGGAATGCCTTCCATGTGTTCATAAAGCTCAACTATAAGCACCAGCTATAATTGACACGTAAATGATCATAGGCTTGGTTCATTTCATTTTATGAAACAAAAATTGCTAGAGAAAGTGTTATCTATGTGCTTTCATCAGGTCCTCATGTAGGCAAAATTTATTGATCGCTCCACCACGTATTATATGGATAAGGTTTTGTGTTTCAGTTCAAGTTAAACAAAAAATGGAAACTATATTTTTTCACTGTCAATTGACCTCATTTCTTCTTAATGCAACTTGCATAGTAAATATAAAAAGTTGGTGGAAGTCGTGCTGAGGACTATCAGATCAATGGTAGTATCACCGGTTATTTGTTCATGATCTCCATACTTTAGTGTGCCTAAATAGTCTGCATAAGCGGTTATGTTACTTTGCCCTGTGATGGACGTGGTTGCCTGAGGCATTGTTCTGCCAAATATGAATATCCCCCTTCATCCCGAGTAATAACATTTTCTAGTGTACAAC